GGCGGTGGACGGGGAGCGAGGGCGGGCGGGAACCGCGCCGGCCCCGGGCTCCCGGCCCCGAGCTGCAGAGGGGCACGCTAGGTGTATACGTGTGTTACATTTTATATAGGTGTTTCTGTCTACGTGCGTGTGGTTTTTATATGTGAGTTACATGTTTCTTCATATATATTATACTTAGGTGTTTATACAGCTATATATTTATATATATTTATATACGTATGTATATAAATATATAATGCTTTTAAAAGCGTAGAAAGATCGTGCGCTACGGCGGACTAGCTCCCGTTCCCGACACTCGGCTCAGCGCCGGCCGTTTCTGCTCTCCCGTTGCAGCGCGAACTGGGGGTTTCCCCGTTTCCTTCTCCCTTACGCCAAGCGCTGCAAAGCCACCTCCTCGCCCTTAAACCCTCGGGAATGCCCCCTTCCAGCCTTGCGCGCTTCCTGCGCCCTGGCCCCGGCACGGCGTGGGTTGCAAAAAAAAGGAAAAAGAAAAAAAAAAAACTTGCTTAAAAAAAAAACCAAAAAAACCTTCAGGAAAAAGGTGAAAAACGTAACCTGGCAGCGATAGGCGTTCTGCCTCCCCATCGCCAAGGGCCTTGGCGGCTGCACACCTGTATTAGCTCTGTATCCACGCTCCTCCACGCATCCCTGACCGGCCTGATGTAAACTAAATGCTCTGCTTTATTTAAGCTAATGACCTCACGGACGCGAACTATTGAGCTGGACAGTCGCAGTTTTTTGCTTCTCTGATCTAATATTGCAAGAAGGAAGTTTAGTGCTGTTACAGCTCCTCTTTGCGGGGGACAATCGTTTCGATTTGGCGCTCAGCCACTTTCTTTTCTTTGCGATAACCTCGGACTAATTTGATTTCTAATGTGCTGGGAGAGGGCCCGGGAGGAAAGCAGCCCGCCCGTGGCATTCCCTGCGCGGCTCCACTTTGCGATTTTCGGGTACCCTGTGGCAGGCTGGAAAAGCCTGAAAAGAAGCGTGTGCTCCTTCCCAGACTCCCTCTCTCAACGCTGCCCTAAACCCAGACTTAGACAAGGCCTAATCTTCTCCCAGCACTTTTTTTTATTATTATTATTATTCGAATTTCCTCCTCTGTATTAAAATCGGCGTTCGTGAGGTCTGCAAAACAGCTCCGTAAAGGACTTCAGTAGCCAGGGAGTTCAGGTCCCGCGGTTTCAACGGGATTTGGGGCGAAAAATGAGGATCAGGGAAGGGAAACTCCTTCGGCGTCGGTCACCTTCCCGATTTCCCACCCCGCCGGCCCCCTCGGAGCCGGTCTGACGGCGAGGCACGGAGACCGGTTCTCCCGCAAGGAGCCCGCCTGTCCTTGTGGGGGGGGTGACATTAGAAGGAGCTCCTCGATTTTATCAGTGTGAAGGGAGGGATGAGGTGGGGAAAGAGCTGTAAAAGTTAAGATTTTGAGCGACACAGAGACGGAACAGTCTCCAAGTGATTATTTTTGTCTGGCATTGGCCAGAAAACGGAGGGTGAACGGAAAATAAAAAAACAAAGCCAGCGAAGCAAATCACTGCGGCGAGTGCTTGGGGACTGGCACGGGACGAACGCGACCCCAGAAGCTGCGGTGCGGGGGTCCCGGCCGCCGCTTTAGGGCACGGGGGGGTGGGGGAAGAGGCCTGTGAAGATTTGGGTCTATTCCGGGGGAAGTATTTGTCCGGGATTTAATTTTTAAAGTACTTTTTTGCGGTTTCCCTCGTACGTAGCAAAAGTCGGGACAGGTCGGGCTGAGCCGAAAGCCGGGGAAGGCGCTGGGGTGGGGACGGGTCCCCGGAGCGACGGGGGCCCGGGGAGAGGCCCCCCCCACCCCCCCCGCCGAGCTGGGTCTTTGGGAGCTTCGCTTGGAGAAAAAACATTGGGTGCGTTTAAAAAGAGAGAGTAGAGTAAAGGGGAGGCCGGTAGTGAATTCGGTGTCGATGTAGTGCAGTTTTAATTCCATGCAGTTTTAGGAATGAACCAAATGTCAGGGTGAGCACCTTAATTATTAAAATGCCCCCGTGTGATCAGAAGACGGTTACTTGACAAGTTGTTTTCTAAGAGGACTTTGTTTTTCGCGTTCAGTATCTAGAAGAAGAGTAAAAAGAAATTTAACTTTTTCTGCTGTAGCTGTTTTCTCCCTCCCCTTTCTGAACTTTTGAACACTCTCCTCATGGGATTTTTTTAATTGCATGATAGTCGCTTCAACAGCTTCGTGGTCTAGTTTATTTAAAAAAAAAAAAAAAAAGGAAAATGAAAGGGGTTCCGAAAACACGACGTGCAAACACTGATGAGCCTTTGAGCCGGACACTACAGCAGATACAAAATTTAGCAGCCTCTTAAGAGCAACCCGTGTGTCGGTTTCGGTGTCAAGCTGGGGAGCCAGGGTAGCTTGTCATATACCCCGGGAGTGATCCCAAACACGGGCAAATTGCTAAGCTTCTCAAGTCAGCCGCATGCTTTTTAATTAGCCTGTAGATTGCAAAATTATTAGTGAAATGCAAAATGAATCTAGAGACAAGTCAGCGATGTGCCACCCCGGGCACATGTGCCCAACCTGGCTGGGGCTGTGAGGAGAGCTCAGGAGGTAGTGGATTTCCTGGCTTGTATTGACTACCATGCTGCAGCTGTGTGGTTGGGGTTTTAATTGGCAAATGGCATAAAAGCTAAATGTTGAAGTGCACTGCTTGCTTCTTTTTTTGATACTTGTTGAAAAAATACTTCTTGGAGAGAAAAGTTGTTAAGCAGAGGTAAAACTTGTTCTTGATTTCAAGAGGAGAAGAAACAGCAAGAAAAAATGCCCAGTTATCAAAACCACAAAAATTATTAGAATCACTTCTTCAGCTGTCAGGAAAAAAAGATAAGGTTGACTTGTTGCTCTTGGTGGAGAAATCCTGAAGCGGGGCTGGGCTGGGCTTTCTTGCACCCCTGTCCTTTTGTGAATCTCCTACTTCTGCGTGTATGTTTGTCTTGTGCTTTGTTGGAGTTCCTCCTCCAGCTCTGTGGCTACCAAGACAGCTGGTTTCTGTGCTCTAGATCCCTGTGATGTGACTCCTAAAGCAATCTGCTGCATGTGTATCCATGAATCCTTTGCACCCTGTTTGCCTACAAGCTGTCCTTTTGAAATCACTGAGCATAAATTTCACTTCCCGGGACATCTGCTGAAGTCCTGTGAACATAACTTTGGCCAGGAAGAGACTTCCAGAGCCACTTACAAAAGGATCCCCTGTTTTGAGGGTATTGTCCAGTGGGACCCTCCCTTTAGCTACCCCTTCCCCCCCACACTTCCCGCCCCAGCTCTCAACCGCAGCACATCTCTCCAGAGCACCCAAGTCTCCCTGCTTTTGTGATAACCGGCCTTTCCCTTCCTTGCAGGACACCTGAGCCCCACTGCCTGCACCCTGAGGAAGCACAAGACGAATAGGAAGCCCCGAACCCCGTTCACCACTTCCCAGCTGCTGGCTCTGGAGCGCAAGTTCCGCCAGAAGCAGTATCTGTCCATCGCCGAGAGAGCAGAGTTCTCCAGCTCCCTCAACCTCACAGAGACCCAGGTCAAAATCTGGTTCCAGAATCGGAGGGCCAAGGCCAAGAGACTGCAGGAGGCTGAGCTAGAGAAGCTCAAAATGGCAGCGAAGCCCATGTTGCCGTCGGGGTTCAGCCTCCCTTTCCCCATCAACTCTCCCATCCAGGCTGCCTCACTGTATGGAACATCCTACCCTTTTCACAGACCTGTGCTTCCTATCCCACCCGTTGGACTCTATGCTACTCCCGTTGGATATAGCATGTACCACTTATCCTAAGATGATCAGAAAGACAAAGCGACAGTGAGACAGACTTCCTGGTGGATCATGTCCAACCCGGAGAAGGCAGTACCCCAACCAGTACTGGCCGTTCTTTCTGCACGCTTCTATCTGCCATCCTGAGTGTACAGGAGTTTGCGTTAGCAAAGCAAGGCATCCTGTATGCTATGGGGTGGGTGTCTTCTGAGAGTGCTCTGAGCGCTGAGTCTGATCCTCAAAGAAAAAAAATACGTAAAAACAAACAAAAAAAGAAAAAACATTTGAGCAAATGTAGGGGTTTTATACAGTGCACGTAAAACTAGAATAAAAAGGAATGGGTGAAAAAGCAATCTCGTCTTATGGAGGCAGAGATTTCCCAACACCTTCCTGATGAGGCCGAACATATGTTTAAAGTAAGAGAGGTGCATGCCCTAAACCCGCACTCTCAAGTGTCATCACTTAATAAGGGGGCAGGGGGGAGGGAAATAAAAAGGTATAATCAAGGTTTTGTTGTTTTGTTTTGTTTTTTAAAGAAAGCAGAGCCCTTAGCTAGAGACACCGTGTAAATAGAAACTAGACCCAGTAGAGTCTGAGTGAAGTTCAGAGCCAGCAAGTTCCTGCATCTCTGGGGGTATGGAAAATTTTTGCATCCCAGACCTTGACATCTTTACAACGAGATGAGCATCAGGGCCCTGACATGTAGAGCAACAGCTTTATCCACCGTTGGCTCCTGTAATGCCTTTATCTGTATAAATAGCTTCAGCGTTTGTTAAGCACTGTGAGGGGAGGTAAAGTGCAAGGGAGGGTTTTTAGGCAGTCTGGTCTTTATCTCTTCCTATTGGCATGCTTAGAAATTTTTGGCTACAGCCAGGTAATCTTGGCTCTGCAATGCTGTTTGAAAACCAGGAGAGAGGGAAGGAAGCTTTCTGGGGAAAGAAGACGTGGGTTGCTTCCACACTGGTGGTGAGCAAAGGATTGTTGAACAATTCTGGGAGACATTTGGGGGGGTTTATTAGTATTTACAACAGTCTGTATTAAATACAAGAACCCCCCTGTGTCTTCCCCTCCTTCCCTTGCTGAGGATGCCAATATCAGTGACTCATGCTTCAAGCCCTCGGTAAGAGAGATCCAGGTATCACAAACAACCAACCCTACCAGCAGGACGGTGGGGTGCCAAGAGACTGCGTAACCTGTCTGTCCCCGTGGGAGCTCCCTGAGCGCTGGCAGTATCTTCCCCAGGCTTCTTCTTCTTGTAACTATTGTATTATGTGTATTACTCTTGCTAAACTTTGTGAGAAAGTTACTCCAAAGGCTGTGGAGCACTGAAGGCAGAGCTTCTCCTGGATTTATTTTCTTAGCATGTTGTTGTGGAAGACAGAAAGAAACAAAAAAAGAGCAGAAAACTGAAAAAAAAGCCATGAGGTTTTGCTGGATTTGGTTTGTTTTGACCCGGGCACTGTTGCCGCCTGGGACCTACTAGAGATGAACTTCCCCTCTCCCTTCCCCTCACCCCCTATCTTCCATTATAGGAAAGTCCCTTTGAAAGGGATGACTTGTACAATTTTATATATTTTATTGAAGATTTATTATTTCTTATCTCTTATTTCGAATTAAATTAAAAAGGAAAAAACATGTTTAATCGCGTGTGGGTCTGTGAGTGTTTGGAGTTCTTTACAGGGTAACTTCTCTCCGTGTGTGTTTTGCACTGCTGGGTCAAGTTCAAAGGAACGTTTGGGTTGCCTTTATGATTATTTCCCCTTTCTGAGTCTGATTTAAAGCCAAATTTGCAGCACATGAAGGTGAATTGCAAGTCAACAATTCAAAGTCGAAAGCCAAACCTTTTATGAGGTTTCCTTGTTTTTAACAACCGCTTTTAGGCGCCTCTGTTCTTTACAACATCATACTCGTGATGTTTCCATCACTTTTCTCAGCTCGCGTGCCCTTCCCTCTTGCCCAGGACTCTCCCTCCGCATCGCCTTTCCATTGACCTCAAATCTCTGCTTTGGCGGGAGGCTGCTCTCGACCCCCACGGTACTCGAGGGTAATTTTGTGCAGGTGAGACCCGGCGGGCACCCCGCAATGCTTCCGTGCGGTTGCGGTTTGGGGCTCCCATGTGCTGCCGGCCTGTCCAGACTTTTGGGGGCAGCCTCCCCCAAGGACGCGCTCATCTGCCGCCCGGAGAGCAGATGCTGGACCACCCGCTCCTGGCCTTTCTGGCGAGGGGGACTGGAGTTTGCTCGGATAAGAGGGGTACCCGGGAGGTCAGGGGTAGTGCACCGCGTCACACCGACGTCCCATGCTGGCCCGAAGTGTATTTTGTTATAGGAAACTTGTTCGGAAGAGGGGTGACCTCCGGGGTCCCAGCTGGCGGAAAAAAAGTGTCTTTGCCTCCCTTGAAGGCGCCGGGAGGTGCAAGGGGCGCAGCGGGGACCTGTCCCCCGCTCCAGCGCTCCTCCCCGCCGTGCGGCTCCCCCGGAGGCGGCGGCTCGCC